CATACATACATACATACACACATACATACATACATACATACATACATACATACACACATACACACATACATACATACATACATACATACATACATCATTTCCAAGCTCTCGTCTCTCTATGATGATGACATCTTCCTTTTCAAGTACCAGCTACCCAAAGAAGATCTTGATGTCCTCATCTCCATCAGCAATGACGAAGATCTCGAGCATATGATGCTTGAATATGACCATCTGTAACGTGCCTCTACCAAGCCTGCTAGGCTTCGTCTCTTCCTCTTCCCTCAAAATTCTTCAGTCTCAATTGTGTTTACTTCTAATGAGGAGAAACCTGATAAGCAATGGTTCCTAGATGCTTTGAATAATATCCCCTTCCAGTCGGTTGATGACTCCTCCCCTCAGCGGCTGCCGCGCAGAATAACCTAGATTTCTTCGGGGGTGGAACAACCTGTGTATCTGATTCCAACGCTAGGTAGCATGTATCATGCACCAATTGGGCACTCAATAACAGGTTAGATAGGCCAAAATTACTATGCGATGCCAAGAGTGGTTCCAGAGGTTTAAAGGAGTTAAAAAAATTAGAGAACACAAATAATGTTTAGGCGTAGTGAATTGGCCATTGGCCTTGAACTGTATTTATAATAGAAGAGTTCTACAAAGAGGAAACTCTATCTTAGATAGAGTCCTAGATAACAACCAACAAAAATAACCAATAGGTCTCATCTCATTAGGATAACAATTATCCTAAGGATATACACAATTGGGTATAATGGATATACTGTAATACGCCCTCTCAAGCTCCATGCTCATCATGAACATGGAGTTGTTTCTCAAGAAGCGGAAGTGATCATCAGCAAGAGGCTTGGTGAGAATGTTAGCAACCTGATCTTTGGAAGAGATAAAACAGACAGTAAGCCGCTGTGCAAGAACTAGATCCTGGAGAAAATGGAAGCCAACCTGAACATGCCGAGTCTGAGCACAAAACACAGGGTTGGCAGCAAGATAGGTGGCACCAATGTTGTCACACCAAATAGTAGGTATCTCAGAAAGTGTAACTCCAAGATCTCGAAGGAGAGATGAAATCCAAAGCACCTCAGTGGCGGATGTAGAACAAGCATGAAATTCAGACTTAGTGTTGGAACGTGCAACCGTTGCTTATTTGCAGGAGCTTCCAAGCAATTAAATTGGGGCCTAAATAGATAGCAAAGCCTCCGATGGATCTGCGGTCATCTGGACACCCTACCCAGTCAACATCGGAAAAAGCATGAAGAGTAAGAGAGGTAGAAGATGTCCATGAGAGGTTCAAACCATGCATAATGGTATGTTTAAGGTAGCGCAAGATGCACTTCACAGCTGCCCAGTGATCATTAGTAGGAGCTTGCAAGAACTGAGAAACTTTGCTTACTACAAACGAGATGTCTAGATGGGTGATCGCCACATATTGAAGAGCGCCAACAATACTCCGATACTTGGTAGGATCAGCAAGAGGAAAACCATCATGTTGAGTGAGCTTGGGATGAACCACCATAGGAGAGGAAATAGGTTTTGCAGCATCTATGTGAGACCAATGTAGCAAATCAGTGATGTACTGGCGCTAACTGAGAAGAACCCCATTAGGATGCCAAATAAGCTGAATACCAAGGAAGAAGGCAGTGGGTCCCAGATCCTTAAGAGAGAAATGGCGAGAGAGCTCCTGAATGCAGCAATGGATAGCACTTTGGGAGTTCCCAATAAGTAAGACATCATCCACATAAATAAGCAGATAAAGAGTAACGTTCTTGGAGCAGAACACAAAGAGAGAAGTATCATCTATAGAGGCTCTAAAACCCATTTGTGCTAACTGGTTAGTGAGACGAGCATACCAAGCCCATGGTGCCTGTTGCAGTCCATAAAGAGCTTTGTGCAATTTGCACACATGGGTCGGCTTGGAGGGATCTTTAAACCCCTTGGGCTATTTGATATAGATATCCTCATGAAGTACCCCATTCAAGAAAGCATTATCAAAGTCAATTTGATGTATACACCACTGATTCATCACAACAAGAGAGAGAATGGTACAGATGGTTACGGGTTTTACAACCGAGCTAAAAGTAGCCGTAAAGTCAACCCCGGGGATTTGAGTAAAACCCTGTGCTACCAATCGTGCCTTGTATCTGTCAATTGTACCATATGCCTTATGTTTTACCTTATAGACCCATTTGCTCCCTACCACATTCATATTAGACGAGTAGGGAACAAGACTCCAAGTACCATTAGAAACAAGTGCATTAAATTCCTTAGTCATGGCATCACGCCAATGAGCAGATTTGACTGTTGTGAATAATTGGAGGGTTTCGTAGTATCATCTCGAGACTGAACTAATAGTGGTTGTGGTAAGGGATACCTGGTCGTGAGATGAGAACGGGGAGGAAGAGATCCATCCATGGAACGAATAACCATAGGATGCTGGCGAGAATGTTGAGAAACAACTAGGACTGTTACAACAAGAATGTCCTACATAGGACGGGTCCCATGGGGTTCGACCTTAGGAGAAGACATACCTGTGGAGGAAGCTGTCGAATGGTGAGGGCTGTCAGTCGGCAGCGGAAGATCTGAATTATCCTGTAATAGTGAGTCGGAAGCTAGGTAATCTGTAGTGGAAGTCGGAGGTGCAGCTAGAGGTGCAGGCGGCAGTTACCGATAAACTCTAGTTGGCGGAACCGATTCAGTGGGAGCAGTCGTAGAGTATCCTGGGAAGTGATGCTCATCAAAGATAACATGTCTGGAGATGTATTCTTCCCAATCTTAGGGTGCAGACAAT